CCAAACTCGTTAGAGGATTGTTTCACCTCTCCTGCCAACGCAGACGACAGTCTCTGAGATTGTACGGTGGTAAATATCGACGTCAGCGAAGTGAGCTAATCATGGTTTACTTAATACTGACCAACCCAAATGACCCATGTCGCAATATGTTGCTGCCTGAGAGGCCACCAGCTCAAACTGACTAAACAGTACAGTCGGCTTGATTGTCGACGAAACGTTTTATCCCTCCGTCTGTGCCGTGCCTGGAATGCCCTTCCTACTCACGTTATCATTGCCACTATATTAACGTTATTCAAAAAAGCCTTGATGAAATGCTTTTCAACTTGTATTACTTGATATAGTTCGTTACACTTGAAGGACGAAATAACGCAAACATAACCAAGTGCTTAACGACCCTCCCCGCAACGTGGCGGTGAGGATACATAAAGTGGTGTCTAAGGGATTAGCTTGGATGTATCTAAACTGGATTAACATGCCACATCTGTCGAATGAAGAAACAAAAGAGTGAGCGTTGTTGCCATTTTTCTACTCACACATCTACTGAACCATAACGACACTTTATACTATTTCGTGTGTGTACATCTCATTCCCACCTCAACTATCGCGGTGCATTTAAATCGGTAGACGCTTAAAATAACGATTTACTTATTCGATGGTCCTTTCAATTTTAATTTTCACTCAAGCCATCCTACGGGACTTGTCAAGCACATGCATTTTACCCATGATAAATCATTGTTCATTGTTCATCGTGTGACAACTCATGTGCTGGTCTCAGTGCAGTAGCACTATATTACGCGCTTTTCGTCTCCAGTTTCATCTCGCCTGCAAGTCTGGCGGCTAGGTCTCGTTAGCCCGAAAATTCGAGTGGCTACACTCCGCGCCTGCGGTACTATCTCTGAAGAGTGTTCGTTCGTTCCGACCAGAAGCAGAAAATGATAGTACCCGTAATAAGGTTTTCTTAACCTTCAGTTAAGCCGAAGTTAGCGAATTAGCGATCACTTTTGCCAGCTTGCATCAGACGTGTGGACATCCGGTTTCTTTGGTGAGTATGTATAGCATAATGTGTACGTAAGGATACTTCTCCTAATACTTATGATAAACAATTGCCTTCCGAACACACATTTGGCGCCATGTTAGGCAAACGCCGATGTACGTTATGAGTTTCGTTTTGGACCCTTCTATGCCGCTTTTTTAACTATCCGGCATTCGCTTCCGTGTTCTTCTCTTATGTCCTTCATTTTATCTGTTGTCACGGTTTGGCTTAACTTTCCTGTAATGAATATGCGTCCAGTGAGCATTGTCATTTTCTGAGTTCCATTTGTTTTCTTCACTGGCTTTTCTCAAGAAATTTGCTTTGGTCCTTTTAGCTTTCCATGGTATTGCCGAAATCAGTTACAGCAATCACCTTTGTTTTGCCTTTAATAGTGTTTCTGCACTTTTAAATTTTTATACTGCGGCCACTAACTGATGCCACAACTAATGCTTAACATGTCATACAATCTCACTCTCAAGCAAGAATAAATTTGGCACCACCAATCACTCGTATCATCTGCTTGCTTTGCTTTATCGAATGATGATATTTAATACCAATGATACAACTCTATAGGAATAATACAACAATAGCAATATTATATAACGTGTTCACCAAGTACGATTACATTTCAGAAATTAGCTACTCGATAGAGATGTGTCGTCAGTACCCCGTGGATTACCTGTAATTGGAATTTATCGAATCACGTTTGAATCTGTCTGTGTTTCATTCATCAAAACCCTTTTCAAATGAAAGTATACTACCAAGTAAATTTAACAATCATCTGGAGTGTTCAGAAAGGCGAAAGGGGAAAGTCTGCGGATTTTTCAGAAAGCTGCGGGATAAGTTCGAAAATAGAACAGTTTTGCAGATGATGGTTTCTGATAGGGCAAAAATGGTGAATTGATTTAAGGCGAATTATAAAAGCAGCAAGTTGATTACCGAAAATTGCAGTCCACGTAATGTTGGAGAAAATAATACTTTGCCTTCAGTACTAATAATACTGTCTGACCTGATGAATATGAATCCATAAAAATTAGTTCAAGCCCTTCCGCTTACCATTTCGTCTGAATCCACGCCAGAGATGTCCAAAGTCCGGCCCGCGGAGCAAATACCGCCCGCGTTAACATTTCAACTGGCGCGCGGCGTCATCATGAAATAATACAGTAAAATTTGGACAGTTCTGTACAGATGACAATATAAACATTAGAAAAGAATTAAGGACATGATTACAAAATCCAATGGCTTCATATGCTGCTCAATATCAGTGTAGCAGTATTGTTTATTTTTAACCAGATACTGAAACTCAATCTGGTGCTTTTACTATAGGGGTCATAACTAAGCGCAAAATGAAAAGTTTGAGACTGTAACTTTATATATATATATATCTAATTAACTGAACTTAGTCCGTTCTGGAAACTTTATTATTGTTTATAGGATGGCTCAGTCTCAAGCTTTATTGTATTATGATTTCTTAGACACAACAGTTGCACCTCTTTGGTTATTTAATTCCATAAGAAGCAAACATTTTCGACTCCATTTTCACAACCGTGATAAAGAGGTTTTAACTAAATTGAATAAATAGAAAAGTGGGATTGGGTAACTTTTATTTATAGGATTGTCATTCCTTCGCTAAAATGTAGAATACGAGGAAAAATTAATGTTACTGTGGAAGAGTGCTGCATCGAGAAAAAGTGGAAACTGGAGTATTTTATCACGAAACGTGTGACCAGGTGTGGGCGTGTGTTGTTTGAAGCGTGTGGCTGTTTTCAAGGAATTTAATATCAAACGGCACTTCCAAACCAAGCATGCTAAAGCAGATTTCAAGAGCTTCGAGCATTTGCGAAGTATATTCTCTGCTTGTTTGGCTCGACATACTTTGTGAGCAGACATTCTCAGTTTTGCATTTTACAACAATCATATGAGGAGGAGACTGTGGTTTTCGCCTACGTGATATCTTACGCATCGAAACCAGTGTCATTGAGCTTGACCTGACTAGTTTACCGCAGTCATAGTCTCAGTTTCATCACACCCATTAAAAACTTGCAATAAAAGTTTATAACATGTCATTTTTGGTTATTATCTTAATGTCAGACTTAATATGGCACGACGTAAGTTTACATAAAAAATATAGCCATCCTTGAGAAAAGTTTGGACACCGCTTTATGTAGGCGGATAGATGAGATGGTTCGGGACATAGAAAGTACCTTATTTACATTATTACAGACCATTAAATTTTGGTTAAAAATAGATGGACCTATTTTACCTGATAACGATGCTCTTCTCGGGGCATATGTCTAATTCTTCAATCACAATGTATTAACGGAGAGATTTTGTTTGCCAGGAGAATTGAAGCGCATACAAAGGATCAGCCTATATTTGAGGTAGTCATTAGCTATCTGACTGAAAACCATCACAAAACAGAACATAATTGCATATGCAACAGGTGGGGCTGCAGCAATGTTCGGAGGATATAAAAGAGCTATTGACTATCAAGAAAGTTCTCTTTCTTCTGTTCATGTAATTCACCATGAATCATTGAGCGCGCCTAGTGACTAGGAACTTGGAAGGGTTCATATACGATTCAGTGTCAAATGTTACAATAATAGTCAGCAGTATCAAATCGCACCCTCATCATGCTCGTCTTTTCCAGCAGTTGTATGAGGAGAACACTGATATTTCCAGGTTCTGCTCTTGCACACAGAAGTTAGATGTGTCTCCAAGGGCAACTATCTTTGTCGTGTTGTTGCGCTCTGGGATACCATCATCACATTCCTTTCTGGAACTGATTATGAAAGAAACTTGTTAATCGCTAAGCCATGCATGTTTTATCTAGCTGATGTTTTTGAAAACTCAACCTTTTAAATAAAACTCTTCAAGGAAATTTGAGTACTCTCATTTGGAGCAAAGAATCCATTATCGCTTTCCTTAAAAAGCTGGAAGTGTATGCACAAAACATCGGACGTCGGGAATTTGCACAATTCCCAATTTTGGTTGCAGTCCCATAGCAGCTTAAGGATAAAGACTAGGTTGTTTATATCAGTCTTTTACAACAACTTTGAAAAGAAATGAAACACTAGTTTCATGACCAGATTGACATGGAAATCCAGTTTTTGATTTCAGCTCCATTTGGCATACAACCATGCGGTGTTGGAGTTAATATTCAGAAGAGTCGCATGTAGTTTCAAACTGACACCCTAACAAGACCCAGACACATACAAAATAAAAGGGTTTTGGATACATAGTGATGTTCCTATCATATTTCCCAGTAGAGTAAGTAGCTGAAATATATTTCCTTGCATTTCCATCCGCATACTTGATTGACTGTGGATTCAACAGAAAGATTTCGCTAACAAAAGTAGCAACAGCTTGCACATCACAGCATGAGATCTTCGATCCTTGCTGTCAAGTATGGAGCCCGACATAAGCAAACTTGCTTAGATATCACGCTGAAGGCTCTCATTCATAGTTCCATAAAAATATTGTCAATAATTTATGATACCTCTTAATTCATGTCGTGTTGTATAGTTAAAAGCTAACAATAATTACATACAAGTTTAACTATTAATGATGACTTTTGTGTAAGTACAGACAAGCTGCTCGATGTTGCGGCGAAATGAATGTTACGTGGCTATGAAAGTTAAGTTATAAGGAAATAACAGTATTTTCAACATCTTGAATTTGACCATCATAACAAATGATACTAATATGACCTCTGCAAATCACAGATTTATGTATGTTATTATTTGCGAATGCTGAAATTGTGATGATAAAGGGTGGGGGACCATGACAAAAGAAAAAATTTAGAAGAGAGTCCCAGCTGATTAAAGGTTGAGAATGCCTGGTCTAGTTTACCATGATGTTGATCCAATTCACGTCAGCCCCATTCAAATCTGAATCCGAGTTGAAACAACAAAATGGTATGGTATATAAGACATAGCTTTGGAGTACCAATTTTTACATATTACAGGAAACTTACTGCATCTGCCCGGATGAAGCATATGGTGAGCACTGCGAACTCATCCGAGGAAAATGGGCTCAGTGGTCCCCTTGGTCTGAGTGCACTCCAAGCTGTGGTGTTTCCGAATACCAGCGACGCGTTCGAACCCGTGATTGTCTGGGTGAGGCCTGCCGAGGTGGTGAGGGTCATTTGCAGATGGAGATGTGTATCACCATGCCGTGCCCGGATGAAACACTTGCATTGGCAAGACAAGGTCGGTCAGAAGAAGTGGGCGAATTGAAAGTGCAGATGCTGCAAGCCCAAGCAGCGCGAGGCGTCAAGTTGGTTGGTGCGGTTGCACAGTCATTGATTCTGATTTCATGTGTGTTCGCCGCCTTAGCTGCAACCGCGATGGCCGTCAGTGTGCATCTAATGTAACGCAGATACAGCTGAGGAGAAAATTCTGGATAATTGATTACTTGTTTTTCTATGGTAACATTTCGTGAATGCCATTACTCTGAAAGCAAACACGATTTAAGGTGTTCTTGTTTCCTTTTAGTAATGCATAAATTTTCTGCTGCTTATTACAGCTGAATTGTATTTTGCTAACTATTTTCCGAACGGCGTTGCTAATGGCTAGATTGCAGTAGGCAATGTCGTCAACCATTGCAAAGCATCCCCGGTCAACAAGTTATTATCGTGCAAAAAGAATTTACCTACGACACTTTAACTAAGTGCCTGTTCAATGTGTAGGTGACAGACTTGGTCTAGGTAACTGTCTTTCGGTCGGTAGAATCGAAAATAAACGGCAAGAAGCGAATTTGGGTTTCAACTTAACAACTCGGGTCTACCAGTTTCTCCACCGTCAAATTTCATTCAGATATGATCAGTTTTATCCATTGCCACATATTCCACTGGCCGGATAATCTCAATTACAGCCACTCTCGTGTTTTCAGCAACAAACATAAAATCCATGATGCTAAGGGTCATTTTGAAGTACACGATTGAAGTACACGATTGCGACGCGCAATCTCAAGGTTGACCGCGGTTCCCACTAAAGTGAACCTTTGTCTTTCGATCACGAGGACCGTTGCCCGTCCTGACCCGGTGACTTAGGGGTAGCGGTCGCAACTAACATCCCAATGGTTCCGGGTTCGATGCCTGCTAACTATGCGATGAGATATAATAACATCGAAACGCGTCATAGTGATGCAGTGTTTTCCGGCGGGCAACACCCAATTGCTATTAACATAAAATCCACTTTGTGATGCGCCTAATGCAAGTGCTACTGCGCGTTTTCAGTAGCATGGAAAAAGGAGGAAAGCCGAAGGTAACGGGCAAACAGTGAAGCATACCCAGGAGAGTGGTATGGGGGAAGGGCAGATGGCGGTCCACAACGTACGACATATATCCGTGGGCGGCAAATTCGAGACATATGATTGTTCGATAACGAATGTAAACTGGCAAAACTTCCAGCTAAGCTGATGATTAATGCTGCAAGAATGCCAAAGGAGAATAGACAAAAATTGAGGAGGCAGGCTATTAAAATTCATTGAAACTACTTCCGTGACAGAAGTGACAAAATAGAAATGCGACAAACATGCGGTAACTGAAGTTTAAGTTTATGCTGTAAACGCTGTTACGCGGGCAACAGGAAGTGACATTAAGATCACTGATGCAACTAGTTAAATGTCTGCAATATTTATGCGGAAGTAGGTGCGCTCAAATCTGATGAACCGGCAAAACAAAAATATTTGGCACGATAACACGCACATTAACCGATTTAAAAGATGTCGGTATGAGGCTTATTATACCGACCATGAAGTCCGCACTTTACTTGTCCTGCTTCGATTTGCAGATCTGCAGTACATCGATCACGGATTAAAAGAGGTAGCGCGACCTGGAATAGATAAGAAGAATGAACTTTGGAATCTACCAATACCTGGATATCCGTGGAGTAGTAAAACGGAAAGAAAGGCTTGCATAAATATAAGGCGTATTATCAAACTAAAGCTAGCAACTTCACTAACCAACGAGCGAGTTTGTGCTGGGGTGCGTGCATCATTGAAAGGATTGGCCTTAGTGGCACTTCACTCTTATGTGTCTTTGGCGACCCATACCACTGTGGAATAGTGCTACCACTCGGCTTCAAATTATTAAATGTATCGATGTCTATCACCCGGTGGAGGAGAAGCAATTCCAGGTGAGGAACGATGCGCATTTCGACATTGGTTATTTCCCCCATTTTGGTGAGCCGTTCGAAATTACTCGCATCGTTGAGTATGGCGCACATCTCATTGTATTCGGTTTTGTTCAATATTACAACTGAACATTTATCTGGTTTTGTTATGACTACGTGCTTAGCTCTTAATTCACGTGAAGCCCGAAAATGTCGAGCTGTGATGGCACATTTTTCATTAATCTGCATGGTTTTCACCTCATGGGCGAAATCGGTTAGCTTGTTTCTGAACCAAATATGCTTATCAGGGCTGGTTGGTTGGAGCTCATTAAACTGATCAAAAAAGTTCTCAAATTGGGCTTATATAAACAAGCCGTTCGACGTCCTAGGGGGGAATTTGTAATCAAGCCCAAGTGATAATGCTTCTAATTGCAACGCAACAAGTTGTACGTTCGATAAATTCATCACGTACTTACTGGGATCACGAGCAATTGGTTCCTCCTCCTGGTTGTTCGTCAGCGAATTTTCTGAACGAGCAGGGCGATTTCGTCTCGTACGATCAAGAGTTGATTTACAAAAGTTAGTGAAAACATTCCGGCAACACAGAGACAGATCCTCGACCACGGGTAGTAAGCGTGCATGAGTTTCTAGTAGTTCCACAAGTCTGGTTTGAGCCGTCTCTAGGTGAGCGGACGCCACACGTCGGAGGTTAGCCGCAGAGGGCTTGAGTTTGTTTCTGCGCAAGAGTAAGAGGACAGCGACGCACGAAAATGCATTTGGATAGAGACGATAACTCCACAACTAAGCACACCATCTTGCAACTCAGGCTGAATAGGCGGCGCAGCAACCTGACTGTTTCGGAGGGAATTCGTCGTTTCAAAAATTTAAAGCAGTTAGTTCCCTTCAACAAGTTGAAAAGCATGGAAAAAATACGAAGGCTGGTAGATGCATGCATTTCGTACTGTCTCCTCAGTACCATTAACAATAAGCGATATGCATAGATATAGCTAACAGTGGGTGCAACCAGACAAGCTTAAGGTGCAAAACGAATGACGGCAGTTCACACCTACATCCAAGGCAGCTTTAGGCTGACAAATAATTGTTTCTGGACACACAAGGCTGGCTTAATCCGGCTTATAGGGACAGCCTCAGCAAACCGAAGGAAGCGGGGATTAGGGTGAGGTAACACAATTTTAAACCCTGAGTCCAGCTCTAATTGGTGACCCGAGTCTAATAGGTGTTTGCCTATCGAGGATGCCGGCGGTCTGCGTGAACATGGAATCTGACGAGGGTAGGCAATCTGAGCAACTTCACGTGGAACCCATCTGGGTACATGTTCCTTTATTCGGGAAGTCAGCGTTCTATTGGTTCTGCTTATGTAACCTTTTCCGCAGTCACATACAAATTGGTATACACAGTGTGAGTTGGCCCCAATAGGCTGAGCATCCTTCGTTGGAGAAATGGGCAAATTTCGGGTTCGGTTGATGACGACAATTTGTGCAGCACAGTAACTTCCTTGTGTAGCCGAAATTTTGCGCTTAGTTGTCTTCAGCGTGGCTAAGTCACCTTTGAAAGGTAACTCGATATACACTTTCTTTTTGGCTGCCGTGTGCACCAAGTCCATTGGCTTGTAGGACAAGTTAATACTAGTCCGAGACGGTGCGCGAAAGTAAGCGCGGATATCAGAAGGCAATGGGAGTCGGACACATCGGATTGTATTCGATGGGCTACAATAAGAAGCGGACGGATGAAGCGACGCGAGAGCGGACACGTGAGCGCGGGAACTTTCAAGGCTGTTGTGTGTCCAGCCGGTTGTAAGGACGATTAAAACAGGAAGGAATAATGTACAATCGGTCGAAAGTAAATTGTACATGAAAGATAAGAGTTATCTTGTTGGGCGCTACATCGCTCCCTCCCCTAGAAGGCTGAACATAGAAAGCCTTCTGTGATGAGAGTATACACTCGAACGAACGTGCGGTGCCAGCCCAGCAAGGAAGCCGTTAGGCTGCCGCAAGGAAAGGCGGCAGCCGATTGGACGTTCACACGTTTCTCGCATGCACGCTGATTGGCCAACAGTGGACGCATTGGAGTGAGTTTGTTTGACTGAATCAAAGGAAAAATGTCATGCATTCACAAAGGTCGTTAATTATGGATCCAACTAGCTGTATATACCGATATGTTTCACTCGCCCTCTGCCTGCGTTTTCGCCTGGTCCTGTTGTTTGCAGAATATACGTTTTGTCCCTGAAGGACCGACTTTTTACATGGTGTCAGAGAAGGAGAAGAACATTAGTACCACCCAGACGATGATTGGAGCTGCACCGGCTATTCAAATGCATGCCCCGCTGAACATGGATAAACGCAGTTTGGCAAGCAACTGGCGTTCGTGGAAGAGCAAATAGATGGATTTCTGCACTGTATCGCGTCTGTACAAACAACCCATGGCGTACCGCCTGTCCATGTTTCGACACACAGCAGGAGATGATGCGCGCCGCGTGCTAGAGACATTGTGTTACGACAAGAGCGAAGATGCCCACAATCTGGAGACAGTTCTTGAGAAGTTCAGTGAATACTGCGAAGGCCAAACAAACGAGACATTTTAACGCTACCTCTTCTTTTCGCGGAACAGGCGGCCAGTTGGATCCGTTGACACGTACGTCACTGAGCTAAAGATTTTGGCCCGATCCTGCAGGTTCTGTAAATGCACGGCGGACAGTCTCATACGGGACCGCATTGTTCTTGGGATCAATGATGAAGGTTTGACGAAGCAACTATTACGAAAGCGCAACCTATCTCTGCAGCAATGTATCGACATCTGTAACAGTGAGACCACTACTGCCTATCAGTTCCAGAAGATGACAAGCACAGGTGACTCAGAGTTGTGCTCCGTTTCCAGGAGCAAATCTACGAGGGCCACGACCGCGCGACAGGAGCCCTGCAAATTATGTGCAACACGACATCTGAGGAACCGCGAACAGTGTCCGGCGTGGGGCCGCATTTGTGTCAAATGTGGGAAGCGCAATCACTTCGCCCGCTGCTGTCAGTCGACAGATGTCAGTGCATTCGTTCCAGACAAAGCAACAGAAGACACCGAACAATCGATTGGTAACGTGTCTCGGAAAGTGTCGCAGAAGTGTGTCTACGCAAGTCTTCTGATCAAGGGACGGTCTGTGCGATTCCAGTTAGACACAGGCGCGACGATCAATATTTTGTCCAGATAGCACTGCCGCGGCATGCAAAATCAATCGGATCAAGATTATTTGCGCATGTGAAAGGGTTTTGGACTCAAGCCAAAGGGCTCAGCGACAATTGAAGTGGTCAATCCGAGAGACGGTGTTTCGCATCGTCTGCAGTTCGTGATCGTGGATGAGGATCTCACGCCGATTCTCGGCATTGATTCGACTTTATCTCTTGG